TTTTCGAACACTCACATACCCAAATATTGAAATTTCCAAATATTCAAATTTTGAAATTCCCAAATTTTCAAACACTCGAATACCCAAATATTCAAATTTTCGAACACTCACATACCCAAATATTGAAATTTCCAAATATCCAAGAACCCAAGTATTCAAATTTTGAAATTTCCACATTTCCAAATATTCAAACTTTCAAATAACACTAAAACCATAATTAACTTTCCCTTATATGTTCACATGAAATCATCGCCACCGATAAAATGAATCAAATCAAAACGCGAACCAATTGCAGCTGAAACAAACACGCTCGTCTAAAACAAACGCTTCATCGATAATAATAAAACTTCTTTCGAAGTTCGCGAACATCGTGTTTCGATTGGAAGCGGCACTGGTTACCAGCACAGAACTTAATCGCGGTGCGTAGACGTACGTAGCGATGGTCGTGATTCGAATTCGAATTAGCGATCGGCGCTTGGCGATGCAGTCTCGTTCGTTCGAAAGACTGAAGTCGAGATTGCTTCGAGGCTCACTGTCCCGTCGAGTTTACCGTTTCCAACGTATACACTGGGTTCGTTTGCATCGTAACCGTAAGCGCAATCGCTCGCGCAAATTGATCCGTGTACGAGATAAATACCAATCGACACATGGCACTCGATGAAAATGCAAATACCCAAAGACCCTCCGTGTGAACATGTTAATAGTCGAGCCCCACCCGACGATGTTCCTTAAAAAGTGCGAATTTAAAACAAAAAAAGTAGAACTACGCTCAAATTTTATTCGACGATCTGTAAAAACGAATAGCACGTGGATGAAATATACGATAAGCAATTGCTTTTGCCATTGTTATTCTTATTAGAAATCGATAGGTATTTGTTGCAGATAAGCAGCGTGGAATGTGATTGGCTTTTGTTGCATAAGAGTGTTGTAAAAGGGGGTGAATAAGATTAAAGCTAATTTGAATCGATAGGCATAAGCTGAGTTGACTCTTTGTAAAGGTGAGCTGTTGCAAGCGATTTGTGCTCGACGCTGGTGTATTCTTTTGCAAAATACTCGATTAGCGCTAAAAGTCTGACGTGTTGTTATTGGATCTGATTCGAAGCCAAAGATTTAAGATTAGAATCGGACATGGCTGACTTTTCAATTTCAGCAAGTAACACAATACAAAGTAATACAATGTAAAAATTGTATAAAGAAAATTTCTCTTTGACCGCTAGCAACTATGAAGGAAACTTCATAAAAGTGTGGGTAATTAAAAATGATTAAAAAGCAGACTTATTTGAAGAAAATTTTTGAAAGAATCTCCTGACTCGTTCATGGTTTCATGTCCACACGTATCTCTTTTATGTTCCCTTTAAACTCCACATGTTACAGCACTAAGTAGTACTACGGGGAAAAATTGTAAAGGAAGCCAGGACTCGCAGAGTCATAATTTACTTTCCTCGCTTGAATCTCTTAATTCAGAAGAAGTAAGTAGGACGCTACTTTGCCAACTTTTCATCCGAACTTCGCGTTTCAGACATGTTACACTGGACAGAGAAACTTTTAACGCGTGCCTCGAACGAACGACGACGACGACGGCTTTCGGGCCGGCTCCGATAATCGTAAGCGCAATCGGCCGAGTAAATTGAGTCACGTACTGGATAACAGAGAGCTAGTATTATATGGAGTCGATAGCGTGACGTGGTAATGAAGTGTCTCCTTTTTCCGCGATACGAAAATTTTAACCTCTCCGAGGCCAATATCTCGGTTTCCCCTGGAGCTCGCGCGCCGCAGCCGATAGTCGAATGTCATTGCTGCAATCAATTCGTATCGTTTTACAGAACACAATCCCCGATACCGCAAAAAGGAAAGTCCGACCTTTCGTACGACTGACCGTAGAGACCTGCGGAAATTTTTCTGTACGCGCGAATGCATCGAGAATCCATTCGAAAGTAAATTTATCGTTCACCTTTTCCTCCCTTGGAACATTTTTCTTTTTTTTTTTTTTTTTGAGAGGAACGTACACACGTGGATTAAGAGTATACACGTTATTGATATCTTTTTAATCATAGAAACGAATCAGATGGTTTCTCTCTTTTTTGGTTTGAGTGGGGATTTATTCAGGAAGGTGAGGAAACTTAGGTGTTTCGAAATTTATGGAAAATATTAATTTAGAATGGACTTTCTGTGAAGAGGATTAAAATTTGATTAGAAGGTATGGAAGGTGGATTACAATGCTACTTTGCTTGACGTTTATTGTAATTTAAACGAATGTTGCAAGATTGCACGGATCGTTTAGGCTAATGAATGGCAATAAGCTCGCGCGATGATTCTGACGCATCGGTAAACTCTTTTTCTGGAGTTCAGAAGGTTATCGAAATCTCGGAAGTGAGAATTTCATTAGCAGTGGCAGGTCGTCGATGACATCGCGGTTGGTTAATTAATATTTGCGTCAGCGATAGTGTTGGGATAGTAAGTTCGATTGACAATTATTTCGAGGGAAAATAAATCTATTTCGATAATGGTATTTTTTCATTAATATGCGACAATTTTCTAGTGTTCTACGTTTTGATCGGTCTTTGAAACAGCTTCGATGATGCAAAAATCATCGAAAGGGTTTAACACGTTAAGCGCCGTGTCAGTCACCGGTGACTGACAGTATACTTTTCGTTCGGGCCGTGTCAGTCGCTGTTGTTGACTGACGATATACAATTTAAAAAAATTATATTCGTCTGTTAATAAATTTTAAATAATTTGGAGATCGTAAAAGAACGTACCTAAATATTACTTGTTACCAAAAAAAAAAATTTTTAACGAGTATTAAAACACACGCAGTCTTATCTCAACCTTACACAGATCTCCAGCCGGCAGCATATCGGTGAAATCGGACATCGCGGGCTAAACGGGAAGGAGGACAAAACAGGCTTGGCGCTTAACGTGTTAAAAACTACTCAGAAATTATTACACTAATTAATTCGGATTTTATCTTAATTTATCGCTAACTTCGCGACAATCGCCAGCGTAGTTCGAACTAAAGTTACAGCAAAAATGCTGTAGCTAGATTCTCGTATTAGTCATAAAAGGGATTAACACTCTTGTAACACACAACGTGCCATTACAATGCAACTTTGGTTCCATGAAGACTAAACCGCGAACGCTCGTAACACAAGCAATTGTGCGTGTCTATCGAGCGTGCACGTTTGTTTCGAACAATAAGTCGAACAACGCTGAAAAATTTCGATCTGCATGGACTTTGCATTCCAGTGAATCATCATACAGATTATAATATGCGAATGAAGTTTGAAATAGTCGATCGTTCGGTGCACGAGTGTCAAACAATACCTCGTGAAAAGGGAACTTTTCAAAAATTTATTTTTCCCTCCATGTTCATCGAACAATTCGATTTCACGATTCGACCGTAGTCAGATAATCTACGCTGTTTTACGCATCTTTGTGTGTGTGTGTGTCTGTGCGGAATTATTCTACAGAAGTTTGCCGTCTCGTTGCAACTGCACGATTCGTGAGCAGAGAGCTCGTCTATAGTCTCGTGATCTCGGCAGAAACGCGGATTCGAGAGACGACTGAAAACGTCTTCTGAATCTTAAAGCCGCGTATACACGTGCGACGAAATTTTCCGTATATTGTTGAAGTTGATAAATAAAACGGGGTCAGGCACGTAAGAAGTATCGACACTTCCATCCAAATTGAACTCTCTTGCCTCAGAAATGTTCGACATTTTTGTTTGTATACTTCCCTGATGAGAAAAAGGATTTAATAACAGAAATTACAAGGTGCAGTGTTACTCGTTCATCGGTATGTTCACATAACACGCAACTCGATCGTTCAACATAGTTTGACGTTTGGTGCAAGCGGTACATAATAACCGCGCTGCACTTCGCGTTGCTCGACGTGATTGCGGGTTGCAGTTGCACGACAGGTTGCGATCAGAGACCTTACACTTTGCAGGTGTGACTTTTTGCACAGTGATTTGTTGGTTAATTGGAGAATTTCGAGGTGAACTTGGACGAGCGCTGTAGGCCGATGTTGGGCGTATTCTGGGTAGAATTTATCACTTCGGGAAGATTCTTGAGCTTCTCTAACCTAATTTGAAAATTTGAAAAAAGATTCATGTAAATTACGAATACGTAAATTTCTCGATTAGGTTCTAATCACACTGAGAAACTTCTGAATGTTTTCGCGTTAACTTAACGTGCGTAGAATTTTTGTTAAGTCACTTTCAGGGAATTGAAGAGTTTGGTTATTCGGCGGCAATCAAAAAAGGACGTGACCCAATAATTCCCAAATAATTCGCGTCGCTTGTCAGTGTATACGGGGCTTAACGTGTACACTCGGGTGACGTTGGTGCTCGAGCGTCGCGGCATCAAAAGCGTTAGGTCGCGTTCCCACACGTAGAACACGCCACGCGCAGAGTGTACTCCAGGAAGACGAGCGGCCATTTTGGGCGAAAACCTGCGGTGGAACGCGCCGCGCGTTTCTCTCAATGCCTGACAGAGTTGGCCCAACCTTTATCACGAATAACGGTGTATCTCAAAGATAACGAATAAACTGGCAGCATTTATTCGACAATAACAAACGACAATTTTATTCGAAGAGAAATTATATCTCCTTATATATTTTTTTACATAGAAATTTTTTTCAAATTCTCGAGCGAATAATGCCCCAAGTTCGTTGCTTGGCGGTGTGCTCGCGGACGGTTTGTCCGCCTCTTCCGAGCGCCCATTAAAAGCGACCGTTTCGAGTGCTTCGAGCATGTTCCGCGCGGCGCGTTGCACGTCTGTGTGCGCGAACAGTCTTACACGCGCGCATGTTACGGACTGAAGAGCGAGCAGGGCGCGGCGAACAGCCAGTACACGTCTACCTCCGACGGAAGAAGGAACGAATTTCTCCTACATTTCGCTTGTATTTTCCCCTGGAATTTTCTTGCACGCGTTTAACCGAACCTCCTTTTGCCGTCTTGGTAATCGTCGGTGAAAAAAGAAAAAGGAGAAAAGAAAGTCATGGATTGGACGAGAGATATGGGATTCGCGCTCGTCAACGTGTACAAGAAAAAGGAGGTTCTTTGGAACCCGCAACACTGCGAGTACCATCAAAAGAACAAACGAAACGATAGCTGGCAAGAAGTGGCCGATGAACTGTCGGCCATTATCCAGAAACCAGTGCCCGCTTTAGAATGCAAGAGAAAGATGGACACCTTTCTTTCCTCGTTTCGAAGGGAAAGGGTGAAGAAAAGGAAGATTAGTGAAACGACAGAGGGAGGTACGTCGGACGGATTTAATCTCCGCTAGAGGGAGTGATGTTTGTCACGTGCATTGGAAACCGGGTCGTTTGGGACTTAGGCATTTGCCTATCTACTTTCTCTCCTTTCTTCCATTTTTTCGGGAGATTCGTAGTTTTTTTTGACGAGGGTTGAGAAACGAGTTAAGTTCGAGACTTTTTTCTTGCAATTAGTACGGTTTGTTAGGTTAGGTTAGATAGCGGTTTATTGAAATAAGGAACGTTGTGATTAAATAGATGGGCGAGACACTCACGAGCGATAGTGTATATTTGCTTGTTGATAAAGAACTTCCTAGCCTGTTGATAAAGAACTTGCCAGACTGTTTCTTCATTTTCTTTTCTCCTGCAACCTAACCTCTACCTTTATTTGTATGTTAATTGCACAGGGTGTCTCTTTTAACTAGACACGGTGAACTACTTTGAAAGTTACTGACGCTATCGAAAAAATGTACAACTGTTAATTGATGTGATAAGAGATGTAACGAGGTGTAAATACTTCTTTGGCAGGTTCAATAGAGTAGTCTGGTAATTATTAGCTTCACAGTCAGGTAGGGTTTACCTGACCGGAAGTGTTCGACAGGTGTTGATTCCTCCAATCTTCCACAAATCGAAATTACTTCGTGTGACATATCGTTGAATTCGTCTCGACAAACACTATCATATTATTCAAAAAAAATTAGGGTTACGTTCAAAAAAAATAATCTTCACCCAGAAATTTCTCCCGGGTACTTTTCTTCTTTTTCCTCACTTCAGTTTCTTCTCAGTTAAAAGAGACACCCTGTATGCATTCGTTCGACTTTTTCTCTAACACGTTCGCTGCCACGGGCGCAGCATGTGCGGTCCAGAATTCGTGCAAGCGTGCACAGATTGTGTTGGTGGGTCACATCAAAAGTCGATGCCGCCACTGTGCGTTGGACGACTGCCCCACGAATCCTCCGTTTAAATACGCGGTGTGTGTGTGTGTGTGTGTACGCCTAACTAAACGCTACGAATTTGCGAAGAGAAACGAGAGTCTGTTAAAATCATTTTCATCGAGATGCATACATGTTCGTGAGAGAATCGTGCTTGTGCAAACGAGGTGTGTCGAATATCGCGTACTTAGCTACAACTCCCGCTTCGTTCACTCGAAACCCGGTATGCATCTGTGAAATTTTATTCTTCGGTCCGTTCGTTCCCTCGCCTCGATGTGCAAAAATAAAATCTTAAAAATGCATTTCTGCCGCTGCAACATTTCGCTGAAGAACGCACTCGAAAGTCTCGAACAGGATCGACTTTAATGGGAGACGTGCACGAAGGTGTGCAACATGCGGCGAACGGCGGTTCGCTGTTGAAAACAGCATGAAAGAAATCGTGCAAAGAGAAAAGTACACGTTTTTCTGTATTGGATCTCTGTTTTCGAACGGATACGAATGTAGTTTTTATTGGTCGTATACGTGCGTTTAAAGCGACAAATTTAATTATTTTCGCTGTTAGTGGACCTATCAATTTTCTTTTTGTCAGAGAATATGGTTTTAAGTGATTTTTAAAATGATGACCTTTGATAATTCTTTCTGCAGAAGATTCCCAATTAAGCTTGTCAATCCATCAAATTCCTCTTGTGCAAATAAAAGATAAAGGCGTTTAAAATGATTCCTACCTTTATAAATACTATATTCACGTCTCACTTCGAGCCCCGTTTCATTAATTATTTTACCGAATAACCTGGTTTCCAGTGATCGAAAATAGAAATTATATTCCACTTTATCGATCATTTAGCGTATTCACGTACATGCAGTTATTCTTAAAGTCCAAGTTTAATGTATCAGAGAGTTAGCGCATTTAATAATTTTCTGTCTAGACAGCGATAGATCACACGGAGCCACGTGGTTCCTTTTCGACGCATTGTCATTTCTTATCGATAAAGAAGTCATCCGTCGACCTCCAAAAAATCCTGTAAGTACTCAGAGGTACATTCGTGAATACCGATTATTTGATCTCGAATTCCTGGAATCGATCGATGGATATTCGATGGAGTCTTTCAAATATTGGTCTCGAATTTCTGGAACGTAGTACAGATTTTTCAATCGATCGACGACACTCCCTGCGGTTTAAACCGATTAATGAAATACAGTCACGTTTACGTAGGTTTCTAATCGAGACGAACCGAACGCGAATCCTCCGTTGTCTAAAGTAAGCGGAAGCAAGCAATCGGAGGACGATCGAACGGAAAAACTCCTGAAATCAGTGAAAACACCAAACGAAGACGAATGTTACAGCTACGGCATGTTCGTGGCGAATAAGTTGAAACGTTACTCAGCTCATACTCGAAGTGCCGTACAACACGCGATGAGCAATATACTTTATAACGCTGACATGGGCCATTATAATCAGTCCAGTTCTGTATCGGTGAACACACAAACCGAACCGAACCCAATGGAGTGCATTTGGTTGCAACAGGACGAGAACGAGTTTAAAAATGAAGCAATTAGCGACGTGGAGAACGAGGGCGAAATATTTAATTAGCCCACCGTAGGATTTGATTATTCGCCGAGGATGAATCGTGCTCGTTGCAACGACCAAATTTCACTGTTTGTTAAACGAGCAGTTGAAACTGTGAATCGTTTTATTTTGCACATAGACGTGTGAGAGTTTGCGAAGAATTTGAAAAATTCTGAATTTTCTTGCTGATCGAGATTTTATATTCTGTATAGATAGGTATAAGTAAGAACTGAATTAGCGTATAAATGACATAAGTTGTAATATTAAGGTTCTTAATATAAGGTTTTATACCTGTTGTAGATGTAAATTAACTTTTAACGAAACATTGTGCAGGAGATATTAAATACTTAACTTCTTTGTTGTAACCAAAATGGACGTTGGTAACACTTTAATACGGATTTAAGGTTGAACAATCGCAATGAAGGACGGCGGAGGAGTGCCGCAGGAAACTGTCACTGTTGTATCCTGTTAAAGCTAACAATTGATTAATGAACTTTTCGTAAATGCTGCGTAGTCTTTATCGAGGAGGAAGTTTTGCTATTATCTGAATCAGCGAGGAAAGGAAAGTCGCGGACAAAGTTACATTTGCTTAATTTTATTGTTTCTGCTTCGTGAAGTGCTTTTGATCGAGCTTCACTTCTGCTAGCGGCTATTGGCGACTATTCGACGTTCTTTGGTATTCTCAGCTCAAATTTATTCTACTCGAACTCTGTATATTTAGAAAATATTCGAGTGCAATTTTATTTGCATATACAACATGCTCCACGCAATATTCTTTCATATGCAGGAATATGTAACCTTATTTTCCAAGATTTTTCACAAGCACAAAAATTTTGCAAAGCATTAACATTAAATATTAATTTTGCAAATTAAATTTTGAAGCAAAAGAAGAAAAAAATATTCAAAATAAAAATATCAAGAATGTCTAATTTTATTTTTCAAGATTTCTCATAACTCGAGAAATTATGTAAACCGAGACTAGAGAATATGAAAATCAAGCAATAGCAAAAGTATGTCAAAAATTTCCTCGATAAAACAGAAACTCCTCGAGAGCAACGCTCTCCAAACTCCTCTAAAAAATTATCAAACCAAAGCAAATAACGTTCTGAAAGCGAAATTTCCAAAATATGTACATCGATAGAAATTTCGCGGAAAGGAGCCCGCGTACGTTTTCGAAAGTTTGTCTCAGCGGCAAGCGCAATCGAGTGTCCCTTGATTTAATTGCGAGTTACCCTCCATAGTCGATTGGTTTTCTAGCCGGGTCCGGTAACCCTTTGCGCTACCATTTACATGATATTGAATCCGAGCGGAGGATAAAGTCGACGTTGGCCGCGTCGAGATTGGGTAGTACGTTATGCGCGGGCAATTTTTCCCGGAGAAACGTTTTCACGACATCCAGCCAATATCGGCCGCGCGTGGAACGGCCTCGAGATGGCGGCATTAAAGGAATACGGGTCACTGAGAAATTTTCAAGTGACCACGTTAGCCTGATACCGCGGCAAGGAAAAGAGGCATGCCTTACAATTAGACGTATCTCCGAGGTATATCGTGCCGCTTCGCTCGATACACTTTTTCATAGATGGACGTTCTTTTAGATAGAGCCGGTTTATTGGCGTCGAAACTTCGTTAAAGTTTCTAAGTTTCTCTGAAAGCAAGATTTCAGCGGATCCCAAGGCTAAAAGGAACTCCTCCGTTCGATACGTAGTTTTTAACAGATTGATAGCAGAAACGGGGTTGCTATTGACGCGGAATGTGAATGGGAGAGGATTTGAATGGACTGCGTCGATGTTAAAATATTAATGTAAGATATTCGTATTCGCCGGTGAGTACGTGCGAAGCCTCTTTCCTCCAAGTTTCTTATCTCTTCTCGGGGGGTTTTCATCGTTAATAAAGCTTTCGAAGAGTTTCGTTCGAAGCTTGGTCAATATTTAACGTACATTCGATGTACAAGATCACACAGTTTCAAATGTGATCTCTATTTCTCAATGCGCTTACTCGTTTCTCGTCTGATTTTCCAATTCTATTCAGTTTACGGCGAAAACAGGGAAAGATCAATTTCACACCGAAAAGTAAAGTTTCATCTTGGACAACGACCAGAGTAACAATGCAAATTATACCTAACCGTGGACTCGATTTCCACGCAGAAGAATAGCTGGAATTTTGATCTCCGTACGGTAACAATAAGCTCGGGAATCGCAACGAGCATGTAAACTATAATTACAGGTCACGCGGGGCAGTTTGCCATCGGAGTTTATAGCGAGCGTGGATTCGCCCCTTGTGCATTACGCGAGTATCAATCGCGATATTCGAAAACAGGGATAGGATGGACGACAATCGAACGTGTTTCGATTGGCCCGACTTCGAGTCGGCAGGATCGTCGACTCCTGTATATGTATATGCAACGTGTCGTTGTTCTCTCGCGAAATTGGAACGTTTCACCGCGGCGAGGCCATTGCAATTTTCATCGATACGATCTGACCATCGACCGTGAAGCCGGGCCTGTTTCCTGTCCGGAATCGTCGAACCGATTTCGACCGGTCGCCAGGGCACGTGCTCCCATCATTTTCGCCCTTCCACTATTCTCTTTCTCCCTGATAGGCAGTACTCTGTGTCCTTTATTCTTGCTCGACCGTCCATGCAACCCATCTTTCTCACGTTTTCAATCTTCTTCTCCTCCTATACTCTGTTCATCTTTCTCGTTGATTCACCTTATATTCAATCTCTCTCTCTCTCTCTCTCTCTCTCTTCGATCGTCTTCCTCGAATCCACAGTTCGTTACTGCCGTTTGCATCTTGGTGGTCGGTTTCTTTCAGCCACTTGTTCCGTAAAATTCACCATTCTTCACCACGATCCATCAGGCTGACCGTTTGTCCATTGTTTCCTGTAGACACAACCTAGATATAAACGATGAAAGCCGGGAATTCGTGGTTGTACACTCCTCCTGTTGGACCATCGACGAGCAATTTCAGCAAGAGTAGTGGTCTAGCGCGCTATCCTCGCGAGCAGAGAAAGTTTTAATTACGGAATAAGGCTGAACCGTGTAATTCAGTTGGTTGAATAATGAAGTAGCCGGATAAGGATTTTGTTGTCCTTGTTCCACGTGTATGGTAGGAACAATGACAAAATCAAGAGAACCGAGATCCGTCCAATCTCGAGCGAATATCGTTTGTTCGGCGACACGCGACGCCAACGAATCTAATCTTAATTCCATTAACTCACAGCACCGGCGTAGGTGGCTTGTAGTGTTTACGCGCCGCGCAAGTAATACGCCACCGATAGCGATCGCACGCGAGAGTAAGAAAGGAGAGAAAAACCCGATGCCTGACCCGTCGTCGTATGTACTTTCTAAACCTTGGACTCGTTTCGAGACGTGCTCAGGGATGCCGTTTAGTTGGATCTTCGAGGAGAGATGACGATCTACTTTGGACACACCGGAAGCCTCGCGAGAGAAAGCTTCGATAAGAGAGCTTTAGTTGCCCTATCCAGCTTGACCATCTTTCCTCGAGTATACGTACACACACACACACACATACACGTGAATTTCTACCGTAGATCTCTAACCACAAACCACGGCTTTCTCTGCTGTAATAATGGATGGTTATTCTTTTTAATTATTCGCTGCCCACTCGCGGACGTGAAAGGAACCTCGAGGATCCGAGATGCAATTAGGAAGACCCTCGGCAGCAACCGACAGTAATTAAAAGTATTTGCTGCTTGCGCCGTTGAATCGTTGAAACCAGGAATTTCTCTCTTCTTCCGTGTTCTTTTTGCCTCCCCTCTCTCTCTCTCTCTCTCTCTCTCTCTTTTTCATTTACTTTTTCGGCCCCTCTCTCTGTTGGGACGGTGGTCGGTTTGCAGAAGAAAGGGGAAAGAGAGGCAATCTCGTTAGAGAAGACAAGTAATGAGCTGGCTCGAAGCGATAAGGGAGAAATCTGTCTTCTATCTGGGTATGACGCGCGTGCGATTCAATTTGGCGGGCGGTAATTGCGCTCGATTTGTCTGCTCTGTTGGGTTATGCGTGGACAGTTCAATTGCGTTGGTGGCTCGCGGCGATCTTGCGACATGGGTCGGTGTAAATACACTGCTCCCTTGAACACGCGGATTCTTTTCTACATCTTTTCTATTCCGCAGCACCGATTTTTCTTTGTGAAGAGCGATTAAATCGGTAATTTCATTTCTCGACTAGTTTTCATTCCTGAAATTTTTCACTCGCACGAGAGTAAAAAGCTACTTCGTGTTTGCAAAGCAACTATTCGACAGTAATGTGATTATGTATCCATTCGAGAGCAAGTCGCAATACATCAACTCTCCGACAGTTGAGAGACGCTCTCAGACAGCGTCCATTCTTGAGAAATACTCTCGAGAGCAACTCGCGATAGTTTCATTCTCGGAAGGACATCTACCTTCATGTTTGGCTCGATACAGCGACTCTGACTCGAGTTTCTTATGTTCGGCTCGCAAAAACTGTCTCGAGTCGCACGCGATGTTATGATACAAATTGTTAAGGCCAGGCCTATGTTGTACGTGTGAGGATGACTCACTCCTGAGGTTTCTTCCTAGGCGAGCTGCGCGTAAACATCGAGCAGAAATCGCGCAGGACGATGTGTCCTCAGTCAGTGTTTACAAGCCTGCCGAACGAGTGCCTCGACAAGCGACGCTTAGTCTTGTAGAATATTCAGTGCTCTCTCGAACAACGCGATTTCGATTGTACGCGGATTTCCAATCAATTTACATAATTAGCGTTGCCTTTACAATTTTCCTTATCATGACGAACTCGTGTGAGCTAATTCCTCGCGAATTGCCGCTGCGTACGAGAAGCAGTCGCACCGAATTCAAGTGAACAACGAACAGCCGAACAGTTTCATGGTATGTACGTGCGTGAATAGTGTAATTGCGTAGTATGTGTGTATATATACGTACACAATCGAAGAATTTAGTTAATTGAAAATAGAAGAGAGCCTACGCATCGCTGATTAGATTAACTATCGTTATAATTTCGTTTTATTGTGTCCTACGTTTATTTT